CACTGCTGATAACTTTCATAATAGTGACCACACTGTTAGTGTCTGTCCACATGTTGGCGCTCATGATCTCGACGTGTATATTACCCCATATCGAGGCGGTCTGTATCGACGGACACACCCCTATGTATGAGGAGTCTCCCCACCAGAAGATGAGACACTACACGTCCATCGCGTGGTTCTTCTCGACAGTGATCGGAATATTCCTCTTCCTTCTCGAGCTGACAATCATTGTTTGGGTCAAGTTTTGGTACATGCATTGGGTAGCCATCGCATCCACCATAGTGTTGGTGCCAGTGATCAGTGCCTTCTTGTTCTTCGCCTATCACTTCTACCATCAATTGGTTGCCTATAAGTTCGAGAGGACTGAACAGGTCTTAAGAGAATTGGAGGAATTGGCAGAAAAGATGAATGAATGTCAAACTAAAGCCATTTTTGATGTTTAGAAAGTAATATCAATCTGTGATCTCATATTTAAAAACAATAATTGTCACTAAATTATATAAAAGTATATTAAATAGTCATAAACATGTTTTATTACATTGAATGTCATTATATCCGAATTTATATATCATGTGCGATAACGGTTTGATAAATACTTTTATGATAGTTTTGGTCTCAAGTTTTATTTTTGTTTTTAAAAGTTAAATGTTTTATTAATTTGACAAATTAGCCAAACAAACTGAAGGAAATATCTAGAAATAAATTGACGCAAAATTTATTAAATTTACAAATTAGTATTCAATGCTATTAGAAAATTTAAAAATAAAATCACAAAATGTGTGAATAATGTTATCGGAGTAAAGGATTCATTTAACATTTTTTGTTAATAATCATAAATTAAATGTTTTGTTAACATATTTTATTTTTTTATCACTAACACATTCCATATTTATTATCAACTACATTTAACAGTTCATTAATGTTATTTAATACGGTATAATCTAAACAATTTTCACAAAAAATAATGACATAAGAAAATAATACTTTGAAAATATTTTAATACAATATATATATTGATAATATATTGATTGCAATAAGTCATGAGTTTCTTATCACTAAATATTTTTTTGATTTTGGTTTTAATATGTTGTATCAATTGTAAGACTAATTGAGATTAATTATCTAATAATTTCATTAATGTTTTGGTTGGTTAAAAGGTGACAACATTTGTGGTCAAAATGAAGTGTATAGTGAGTGCGGCTCTGCCTGTCCACCCATTTGCAAGAACCAGAGGATATCCCATTCACGCGCCTGTCATCGCATGTGTGTCGCCGGCTGTTTCTGTGCCCCGGGATATGTGAGAGACCCACTTCGGGATAATCAATGTGTTTTAGAAACAGACTGTTCAGTCGATGACATGTTGTAATATATTATTGATTGTTATTCAACACGATTGACATAATAATAATAAATAAAATGAAATAAATATTTATTCGTAAGAATATCAAATAAAAATTTAATACAAATTGATAACATACATAAATAAGCAGTGTTCAATTATAACAAACTAATCACTGTTTTTTAATTAAGTAATATTTATATTTAAATAACTTTGGGTCTAATTGTAGCGTTAATTAAGGCCTCAAATCATATCGGTTGACATTTGGTGGTAAATCCCTGAGACTGTGCGTTATGTTGGGATTCCTGACA